TCTGTTTGCTCCTTCTCTGACCCAGTGTTACTCACTGTGGATGTATGTTGCTCTTTGACATAGAGCTCCACACCCCCACCCTTTCTGCCTGTCCTATCTTTCCTGTAGAGCTTGTAGATCTTGATATTCACTGCCCAGTCATGCGTTGGGTCCCACCATGTTTCAGTGAGCCCCACTATGTCTGGGTTGGTGCTGGCTAGCAGGAGGCCTAGTTCCTCCTGCTTGTTCCCTGTGCTGCAAGCAATAGTATAGAGGCATTTGAGGCCTCCTGAAGATGAATGGACTGCCCCCCTAATCCAAGCAGTACCCAGGCCCATGTCACTTACCTGATTAGCTGTTTCGCTTGTCATCGGTTTAGGCTGGGCTGCTTCTGCAGGCGATGCTTGGCTTGCTTGTCTGAGGCTTCCTCCGCCCATGCCATCCCCTTCCCCCAATAAGCCTAGTTTAAAGCCTGCCGGAGGAGATCCACCAACCTAGAAGAGAAAATATGCTTACCTTTAGGGGAAAGGGGAGAGTACAGATATGGGTACAGAACACCTCAAGTTTATACACACATGCTGTATATAGAAATTATGTTTAAATATGAAAATATATAGAAGTGTCTAATTTGACTGTTCTGTCCAAAGATTGCCACCTGCCAACTTGTAAAGGCCATAGCCTTTCCTACCAAAATTTATATTTTATCAATGAAGGGTCTGATATCCTGACTGCCTAGTGCCTAGCTTAGCCCCCTCCCTCCTTGCCCTCCCCCCTGGCTTGTGTGTAGTCCTGAGATTCTCCTGGGCAACTGTCCTCACTAGGTCCAACCATTCCCGTAGTCTGAGAATGCATTAGATGACATTTTGAGACTTAATGCCTTGCACCTGCTTAGTAGGGCTGTGCGAGGCTTCGGACAGAGCTTCGGATCTGGAGAAGCTTGGGATGCTTTGGTGTCTGAAGCAGCATGTCTGGATTGAAGCGCTGCCTTTGTTAGGCTTTCCGAAGTGGTTTGGAGTTTCCAAAGCACTTTGGAAAAGCTTTGGAGCTGCTTCAGAGATCTGGTCATAGGGTATAATGGGGAAACAATTAAATATCTATAACTTTGTTTTTTTCTGTCTGATTTAGATGAAATTTGCAGAGATTGTATACTCTACTGGGAGCATGAAGCCTGTCAAGTTTCCTGAAGATCAGTGCAGGGGTTCGGGGGGTTGCATCCCAAATTCTTTAAAGTAAAACCGATGTCATGTGTACATGTTACATCACAGGGGGTTGAAAACTGCAGGGATGTCGGCCAAGGCTGAGGGCATATAGTCTGCTAAGTTTCAAGAAGATCAGTGCAGGGGGTTGGGGGGAACTGCAACCCAAATTCTTGAAAGCAAAACTCATGCCACGTCTATGTGTTACACCACAGGGGGGTGAAAACTGCAGGGGTGGTAGCCTCTGCTGAGAGCATGAAATCAGCCAAGTTTCAAGAAGATCAGTGGAGGGGTTTGGGGGGAGCTTTACCCTAAATTATTGAAAGCAAAACTTTACCAGCAGTTTTCACTCCTCTGCGCGTTAACACACACAGTGTCACCCATGTCAGGAGTTCTGCCTGTCAGCAGCTTGAGGTGCAGTTCCCCTCAACCCCTGCACCCATCTTCTAGAAACTTGGCAGGCTTTGTGGCCTCACGGCAGGCTTTGTAGCTTCACCAGGAGCCACCACCCTGGCAGTTTTCACCCCACTGTGTTATAACACATATACGTGACATGGGTTTTGCTTTCAAGAATTTGCGGTACAGTTCCCCCAAAACCCCCGCACCGATCTTCTTGAAACTTGGCAGGCTTCATGCTCTCAGCAGAGGCTACTATCCTGCAAGTTTCATCTACATCAGAAAAACAACAACAAAGTTATAGATATTTAATTGATTCCCCATTATACCCTATGACCGTATCTCCTGCAAAGTATTTTAGGTTCTATCACTGTGTAATTCCCATGGGCCAATTAGCCATAGAGTATGATAAAGATTGGGTTTCCCCTCTGGCTCTGTGTGAAATCAGGTCCTTCTCCTATAGGCCTAACCTCTCCCTCAGGCTGCCTGCCTAACAAGGCTGGTGCTATGGAGTTTTCTCTGGGGCCATCCAGGTCACACTGTACCCTGACGCCTTTAGCAAGCCTCCGACCAGCCCTCTCCCCAGGCTGAAAGGACTTCCCTTCAGAACAGGCAGCATCCCTGGCACAATGTAGATTGGGGTCCAAACACTTCAGGATCCAAAAGAAATGTCCCATAATTGGTCCCCCACATGGTCCTGAGTATGCAGATCCTGTCAATTCTTTGCTGCCAGGTACAGCAATTTGTACAATTTAAATCCTCTGTGGTCAAGCCAGTGATTCCACAGTCTGTATTTGTGCATGCAATTATTCCATCCCAAGTGAAGGGCTTTGCACTTGTTCTTGTTGAATCTTTGGGTAGTACATGGAAAACTTCTCCAGCCTATTCAGGTCATTATAGATAGCTAGCCCTGTCTTCCAGAGTGTCTGCAAGTCTACTCAACTTGGTGTCATCCTCAAATTTGCTAAGTGTGCACTCAATCCCATTGTCCAAATCAGTAATGAAGATGTTAAGCAACACTGTATGGAATCAGATTGGTCAGGCATGATTTGCTCTTGGTGAATCCATGCTAACTCTTATGAACACATAGTTCTCCACTTGGTGCTTCACAACAGATTACTTGAGGACCTACTTCATGATCTTTCCAGATGTCAAGGTCAGGCTTACTGGTCTGTAATTCCCTGGGTCCTCCTTCCCTTTTTTTAGTCACCTGGGACCTCACCTGACCTCCACGTATTCTCAAAGAGGAGGATAGCCATGGCTCTGAAATTATCTCAGCCAATTCCCTCAGTACCCCACAACACATCTCATCTAGGACTGCCAACTTGAAAGCATCTAGCTTCTCTAAGTAGTCTCTAACCTGTTATTCTACTAGTCTAAGCTGTTTTTCTCCTTCCCTATCTTTGCTACTAGTTGTTCTCAGCATCTGGTAGCTGCCCCCTGAAGTTTATTAAAAAAAAAAAGAAAAAAAGGAGGGGGGCATTGAATACTTGAGTTTTCTCTGCATCATCCATAACTATACACTCACACACAGACACTGAGGATCTGTGAAGACAGACCCTTCCCCCCCCCCCCCCCCCCCCCCCATCCCCAATGTGGAAGAATTCAAGGCCATTTGGAGGTGGGGTGACATGTGGACCCAAAGTATGGAGGCTCAGAGGCATCCAGCAGCATTCAGGCACTAGGGAAGGTATGCAGTTATATCCCAAGACATCAGTGGAGGGGAGGGCTAATAGATTATATTGTGGTCCATTATATGGGAGTATGACTTAGTGCTTGGGCAGGTCATTAAGAGGTCTTGCACCTCCACATTCATCCCTTTCACATACTTTGTGTTGAGAGGGGCTACCATAGTGACCCCTGTGGAAAGTGCAGGTGGGCCAATACAGGCTGTTTCTGGGGGATTTTGCCAGCAGGTGTCAGGCCATTCACTATCAGGCAATTTAGCTTGCCTTTGTGTTTCTCCTGTAAGAATAAAGAGGAAAGGATAAGAATATCCTTTCCCACCCATTTCCCTCCCTTCTCACTCCCCTATGAGAACAGCTTCTATTCCCTGCCCCCAGAGACCTGGGTCTTCTTAGATAATGCCTCTCTGTCCATCCCTCATCCCTATCCCCCCCATCAGGTGTTGTTTCCCCTAGGGGAGGGGTCATAAGTAACTGCCCACCCAACCACCCAATTCTTTCTCCCTCCAGAAAGGTCTTGCCTCTGTCTTCACCAATATTGTATAGTATGCAGGCTGAAATGGTCATCTGGAGCAGATAGCACTCAGTAGTATCCAGGGGCCTTCCATCATGCCTCAAAGCGGACTCCACAACCATTGAACCAGTATTTGAATTCTTTCTTTCTGGCAAAGAAATAATTGGGGTAGGACTTTGAGTCATGGCAGGAGCATGTATGTAGGGTTCTTGAGTAGCAGGGGGAATGGTCACCCTTTTCAGACTGATGCTGGGAACACTGTAGGCAATTTTTCCTTATGTCAACAGACACACCAATCTGAAGTTCCTAAAGACCTAGGACTTAACTTGACCACCTTGTGGTCACACGGGTGAATTATTCCTAGTGGCTCTTGTTGCCATACAGCAGTGGAGGAGCAGTTTTTTTCCCAATGATATACTCTCTGCTAGAGTGCAGGGCAGAAGATAGCTATGTGTATGACACTAGAGGCCCTATGAAGTTTGGAGAGTCCCTGTGGGCAAATCCAGCTCTGGGTTGGAGAGGCAGAAGAACTGTTGTGCCAAGTCCTCTGTATATTGTGACACACTTCCCATCTGGCTGATCCGGCATGGACTTTCCCACTCCAAAGTTTGAAGGTTGAATTTTGGTTGGCTATTTTGGCTGGATAAGAGTGACAGTGGCAAAGAGATGGCAAGGTGTTGGTCTCTGCAGTAGAAGTAGTTTCCCTTTAAAATGAGGGAAGTCCTTGCACCCAGTGAAATGTTATCCTCTTACTACCATTTGTATGTGAGCTTGGGCTGTGAGAGAGAGCTTTAATGACCCCAACCTGGTGGTTAAAAAGTACTACTGGAGACTTTCAAGTCTACTCTGTTTCATGTATGTTTGGTGTCCTGGCTTCATTTGCTTTTTTTTCTCTCCAGCTAACAGGTAATTGTCATAATTTAATATGATTATGTTGGGGTATCAGGTCTTCTGTTCTTACTAAGTGAGAGAAAGAGCACCATAAACAGTGAGTAACGTTTTGTGGGTCAGGAGCTGGGGCCACAACCCAAAGTTTGTTTGTTTTAGACAATAAATGTACATGTAATTTAATAAAAAATAATGCATTGCATTCTTTTTTCCCCTACTGCTGTTAACACAAGGCTTAATATTTATATCTAACTACATATTTGGAATTGGGTAAAATGCATCCTTGGGAGAAATTGGCAGGAATGTTTTTCATTTTCTCCCCAATATGGATACCTTCAAGCATCATAATTTATGAGAACAATGAAAATCCACAAGAGAAAATATCTTCCTTGTTGCCCTTCTGAGAGTGTCTTTAACCTCCTTGTTCCTCACACTGTAGATCAGAGGATTCAGCATGGGGGAGACTACTGTGTAGAACACAGAGGCTATTTTGTCCAGGCCCTGAGAATACCGGGAACTGGGTCTTAGATACATGAAAGCAACAGATCCATAGAAAAGGGAGACAACCATCATGTGAGAAGCACAGGTAGAGAAGGCTTTGATTTTGCCTTCAGCAGAGCGGATCCTCAAAATGGTGATCAGTATGTAAGCATAGGAGATGAGAATTGCTAGGGTTGAGATTATTACAGTGAAACCAACAAACAGATACATCACAATCTCATTGGGCCAGGTGTCAGTACAAGAGAGGGACAGGAGTGGGGGGATTTCACAATAGAAATGATTGATGATATTAGGGCCACAAAAGGACAAATGAAGCATGGTGCCTGTGTGCACCAGAGCATTCAGAGTCCCAGCAACATATGAGCTACCTACTAGCTTGAGACATACCCTGTGGGGCATGGCTGTCGCATAAAGTAGTGGGTTACAGATGGCCATGTAGCGGTCATACGCCATGGCTGCCAGAAGTAAAGCTTCTGTAGTGCCAAATACTGCATAAAAGTAAAACTGTGTAATGCACCCAATAAAAGAAATAGAATTTCTTTCTACGAGGAGACCCAACAGCAATTTAGGGGTGACAGAGGAGGAATAACATATATCTATAAAGGACAAATTGCTAAGGAAAAAGTACATGGGGGTGTGAAGTCGAGGTGCATTTGTGATTAGCACAATCATCCCAAGATTCCCTACCAAGGTGATGATGTAGATTATGAGGAACAACAGAAAGAGGGGGACTTTCAGCTCCATGAATCCCAAGAGAATGAATTCAGTCACTAGTGAGTAGTTTCCTCCTGCCCATTTTCCTGGTATCTATAGGGGTAAGATAAACACACACAAGAAAGAGATGAAATAATACTGTCCATTACACAAAATCAGAGGAACTAGAGATTCTGTATCTAGGAGTGGGAGAGTTAAGAACACAATCAGCACAGTCAACTGTCAATAGACTAGAAGGAAGTTGAAGAATAACTTGGAATAGGGCAGGACAAATAACTCCAAAAGAAGGCCAAGTTTTGTCTGCAACATTTGGGAGCAAAAGCCTGGCCCTACCAAATTCCTCCTTTCCCAAATCATTTGAGTTCCACTCTCTCTGATACTTGGGCTTCCTTTGGTAACAATTATTTCAGAAGGGTTAGGAAACTAGGTTTTGGTTCTCAGTTGCCACATTAATGAACATGATAGATATCTTGCATAACACTACTATGTTTTGATCCACTCTGGGCCTCATGCTATTTGAACTAAAGTCAACACAAATTTTCTTAATTATTTCTCTAGCATAAGAATTAAGTCAGTCTGTTTCATTCTGACCATTAGAATAATTTGGAAATAACTGACTGGCTCTCCCTTACCAGGGGGTTATCAACACCTCTCAGAATGAATTTAGGAAATTAGGACTACATTTTTTGGTTCAGTCAGTCATAGTCATAGATCCTTTGATGTCTATGTTTTAAAGCCATAATAGATCATTAAATCATTGTCTGGTATCCTGTGTGAAACAAGCTAAATAATTTCATCCAGATGCTCCTTTATTCAACATGATAAAGTGCTGAACTAAAACAGATTTTCCAGAAAGGTATTCAGGAGTGATCTGAGGCCTATAAGAAATGGAAACTCTGCCATTTGTCTCACTGATTTGGTCCGCTGTTTGGTCACTCTCACTGTTCTGTTTGTTTCTTTTGCCTTATTTCTAACTGAAATGTTTCTATGTTCAGACATTGTCTTAGTATCTGGTGTATTTCCCCCCAAGGAAGTTACCTATGAGCTCAAGTCATAGCTCAGCCATTTCTTTGCTAAGCTAAGCTAGCTGACCCCTTTTTTCTCCCAAATCTTTAGTCATCTTTGTGGCTCTTTTCTTTACTGTCACCAATTTTTCAACATCTTTTCCTAAAAGAGAAACACCAGAATTGGACTCAGTATTCTAGAATCAGTCTCAGCTTTAAATAAAACACAGAAAACAAATTACCTCTCTGGTCCTAGTTATTGTATCCAGTATATACATCAACATATGCCATTAGTCCTTTTTCCCATGGGACTACAGTGGGAGATCATGCTTGCTGGTTTTTTTCTGTCCGCTATAAATAGACTTTTCCATGGTCTACTTCTGTTTTCCTTGTTAGTGGGTTGACCAATATAGATCATGGTATCCCAGACAGGGGTATCTTAACCACTAGCATAAAACTGTTTTGGTTGTTAGTGCTTATCCTCTTCCTTTAATTGTTAGTTCCTATCCTCTTCTTTTGGAATCCTTATATCTTTGCATTGTTAACCACCACTCCACACTGAGAAGTCATGACAATAAGCACCTAACGCAAGCGACCAGATATTCCCCCGCCATTCTTGCAGCTAATTTAGAGTCCCTCTGGATATATCAGGCAAAGATTTCTGTGCGTGATATCTTTTACTGGACCAACTGTATGGCTGGGATAGACTTAGACAAGTTTTTAAATACAAGTCTATCCCAAGCATGAAGCTAGTCTAATAAAATCTAATACCCACAGAAATCCTTGCCTCTCACATATTTCCTGGATCATCATCGCTACAACATCACTTCAACACTTAATTAAGTCAATTATTGCAAGTGCTTTATCTGGTAAGCATAGACATTGACTTGCTACTGTGTTCTTTAATTTGCTTACCTTTGATAGGAACTTCTGCAATTCTTCAAAGTTCCCCTTCATTCCTGGTGAATCTTAAGTACTGATGTCAGTTTTCAGTGAGATGCTATTGCAAAGATTTAGATGACTTAAAAGGGAAACCTTTTAGTATGATCAGAAAGGCGTCTCACAAGTTACATAGCATCATTTAGACCAAGAAATTCCTCAGAATTCTTGAATCAGAATTGCCTTCAGTTCCTGCCAGACCTGCACCTGACCCCCAGCAGTTCATGAGTTGAGTTCTCAACTCAGGGCATATTGTATCCCTGTGAAACTTCAATGATCTCCCTCCTGAAGTGCAGAAGGAACTAGGTTTTTATTCCCTTCCCATATAAATCATGGATTCCCAAATGTACCTGCAAAACAGAGAGAAAGAATTCCACTGGGAGCTTTGAAGTTGCATCAAACTCTAGATTTAATGCAGTAGTTTATTTCTTTGGGATGTGTTCCCTAAAGTATTTTAAAAGATAGTTATATAGTGACTGAGCACTTACAGTTATGCCTGCATCTTCACAGCTGGAATTGAAAAGCACAAATAGGTGTGTTTGTAAAGGATTTCAAGTTTGGAAAACTTTTCAATTATGTTTCTTATTGTCCTGGAGAATAAAATAAACCATTACATATTTTCATTTGCAGGTAATTAGCACTATTACCTGCTCTCATGAGTAAATTCAGGTAAGCCAGAGGGCAGAATTTTCTTTCTCTTTGTGTATCTACATGGCAGTTTTCTAGGCACATACTTGAATGTACCACTGCATTGTGGATGTGTATGTGCCCATAGACTGAGCATTTAGTCTAAATATACTCAGTAGGATAAGCACTGGCAGGGCACAGAAACAGAAATCTTGAACAAAAAGGTATGTGTGTGTGGCTAGGACCCTTCCATTTCTTATCCCCAACGTCTTAGTGGTTAGGACACTTGCCCAGAAAGCCAGAGACTGATATTTGAGGGCCACCCTTCCCCGCTGTCACCCAAAGGGGTTTTGAATATGCGTTGCTTCAATTTCTCAGGAGAGTGCTCTGGTCACCACACCACCAAGCATTATTCAGGTCCCCTCTCCAACCTCCTTTTGAAGCTCGGCCAGTGCCTGTTGCATTAAATGGTCATTGGATAAAATGGATGGAGAGATTTTTCTGCCCTAGTGGGAGGGATACTTGAAGCTAGAGCATGGGGCCATCTCACAGAAACAGCAGCATCTATCTCACTTAGCCACACAAACCTTCAGACTTACTTGTTTTCACACAGGCTCCCTGTATCTCCTTCTCTTGGCCACTCAGAGGGCAAGCTTCAAAAACGGTCTGTAATGGAGCATGTACAATGGCTGAGTTGTGGTGTGGTGGCTGAAGCACTGTGCTGGGAACTTAGAGATGCACAAGGATGAGAGTGGCCAGACCCTAGATTTGCAGGCTGCATCTGCCACAGTTCAGCTCAGCTCAGCTCAGCAGGGTGGGATCCATCTGCCACAGCTCCAGTACCTTCTGTTTTGGCTCCACTGTGGCTCTGGGCTGCAAGTTACCATCTACTATTGCAATCTTCACCAATTCTTCCTTGTTTGTGAGCAACAATTCAAAAAGAGCACAGCCCCTAGTTGGCCTCTCCAGTATTTGCACCAGGAAGCTGTCCCCCACACTCCAAAAACTTCCTCATTTGCCTGTGCACTACTCTATTTTCCTCCCAGAAGTTGTGAGAGTGATTGAAGTCCCCCATGAGAACCAAGGCCTGTGATTGGGAAACTTGCACTCACTGTTTTAAGATAGCTCAGTTCACGTTTTATCTATGTATATTAATAGTTCAATAGAGTGTTAAGTATAAACTTGCAAAAGGACTCTACTGGGACCCCTTCCCTGATGGTTATATATACTTACCTATACTTACTTGTGTATATTTGTGTTTTGACTGTTGTTTAATTGTATTTATATGTGCTCACCTGTATTTACCTGTTGTTTGTCTATTTTAAATCAACTGATTATCAACACATTGCTTGGGGGCCTGAAGGGGTGTATTCTTTCAGCCTTTATCTGTAGGACCATGGTATTATATAATAATTGTATATTCATATATATATGTGTTTATTAATATCAATGCCCTTTAATTTTTGTATATATTAATAAATCTGTATATAGTTAAGTATCTCTTGTCCTGGCCTGACTCTATAGTAGAGGGATCTGGCCGGCATTTTGCAGATCCCCCTCTCAGCATTTTGCAGATCCATCTCTTTTCACAGATTGAACAAGGCCTGATCAGTCCTCCTGCCTGCCACCCATCCCTTCTATCTGGAGAGGGGAGCACATTACTTGGTTGCACCCGGGTTACACGTGATTGGAATAAGAGAGACTTGATGGGACAGCTCGCATGACTGGAGCACTGTCATAGATGGGTATAAAGTGTTCATGAAGGACAGGCCAAGGAGAAGAGGAGAAGTTGTGATTTATGTAAAAGAGCTATATGATTGCTCAAGCTTCAGTATAAAACTGAAGATAGGCATGTTGAAAGCCTCTGGGTTAAGGTTAGAGGGGAGAGCAACAAGGATGATGTCATGGTGGGGGTCTGCTGTAGGCCACCAGACCAAGAGGATGAGATGGATGTGGACAAGTCCATGGGGCTGGTTGCGATGCACCTGAGAGTGATACAGGAGCTGGCATATATGATTTCAGAGCTTCTGGCATTTATCTTTTAAAACTTATAGTGAGTGGGAGAGGTCCCAGATCACTGGAAAAGGGCAAATATAATGCCAACAATTAAGAAAGGAAAGAAGGAAGACCTGTGGAACTATAACCCATCAACCTTACCCGAATCCCTGGAAAAATCATGGAGTAGGACCTCAAGGAATCCCTTTCTAATCACTTGGAGGAAAACCAGGTGATCAGGAACCGTCAGCATGGATTCACCAAGGGCAAGTCATGCCTGACCAACCTGGTTACCTTCCATGACAAGATGACTGGCTCTGTGGATGCAGGGAGAGCTGTAGACATGAAAGACCTTGACTTGAACAAGGCTTTTGATATGGTCTCCCACATCCTTCTTGCAAGCAAGCTAAGGAAGTATAGATTGGATGAACAGACTGTAAGGTGGATAGAAAACTGGCTGGATTGTTGGGCTCATCAATGGATTGTAATGAATGGCTTTATGTGTAGTTGGCAGCCAGTATCAAATGGAGTGCCTCAGGGCTTGGGTCTCAGGCCAGTTTTTTTTCAGTATCTTCATCAATAACCTGGAACACTGGATGGAGTGCACCCTCAACAAGTTTGCAGATGATACAAAGTTGGGGCAAATAGTAGTAGATACACTGGAGTGTAGGGCTAGGATTCAGAGACCTCCAGAAACTGAAGGATTAGACCAAAAGAAATCTCATGAAGTTCAATAAAGACAAGTGCAAAGCCCTGCACTTAGGACAGAACAATCCCATGCACAAGCTGGGGACTGGTTGGCTAAGCAGCAGCTCTGCAGAAAAGGACCTGGGGGTTAGAGTGGACAATAAGCTGAATATGAGCCAATAGTGTGCTGTTGTTGTGAAGAAGGCTAACGGCATATGGGAGCATTGCTAGCGGATCAAGGGAAGTGATTCTTCCCCTCTATTTGGCACTGGTGAGGTCACATCTGGAGTATTGTGTTCACTTTTGGCCCCCTCTACAGAAAGGGCCCCCTCTACAGAAAGGATGTGAACAATCTGGAGGAAATCCAGCAGAGGACAACAAAATGGTTAGGGGGCTGGGACACATGACTTATGAGGAGAGGCTGAGGGAACTGGGTTTATTTAGTTTGGAGAAGACTGAGGTAGGATTTAATAGCAGTGTTAGGCTACCCAAAGTGTAGCTCAAAAGAGGCTGAAGCTATACTGTTCTCAGTGGTGGCAGATGACTGAACAATGAGCAACGGTCTTAAGTTGTAGCAAGAGAAGTTTATGTTAGATATGATAGGAAAAACTCTCTTACTAGGAGGGTAGTGAAACACTGGAGGCAGTTATCCAGAGAGGTTGTGGAATTTTTATCTTTAGAGGTTTTTAAGACCTGGTTAGACGGAGCCTTGGTTAGGATGACCTAGTTGGGGATGGTCCTACTTTGAGCAGGGGGGTAGACTAGATGACCTCCTGAAGTTCCTTCCAACCCTCATTTTTTATGATTCTATAGTGCTTAAGCGTCAGGTGCTCTCCAGCACTCCCTCTAAGCTGTGCGGCATGCACGGCCATGCAGGCACTCCTGGCAGTGTGGCATAAAGTGCGCCTGTGTGGCTGTGCGCACCGTGCAGCTTAGAGGGAACACTTGGTGCTCTCTCTAATTAATGTCCTGATTTCCCCTTTAGAAACTACTCAGGCCTGCCCTTTCTAATGTCTGCACATATAACTCCCCCTGAACCTTCCTTTCCACTCTCCCCGAAGTGTTGTCAACTATTGAAAGCAGAATTATTTCCAAATGAACAGCAAAAAGTCTCTGGATGCCACTGGGTAGCCCTTCTCAATAGAGAATTTATTAAATATATAAACTGATGCAGAATCTGTAATATATGCATCTTGTCATTAGTAAATCCCCCAAAGTCATTAGAAGTCACAGCTATAACATTGTTAATTTGGGAACACTGCCCAGAGCTTCAATCAGACACTGTAAGACACTGCTCCAGCCTCAGCAGCCCTCCCAAAACACCAGCCAGATCTCCATTTCAGAAATATCTCAAGTGTGAGGAGCTCTGGGCTCAAAAACCCTTCCTAAACACTTCCAGGTACCTCTTTTCACAGAATGAACAAGACCTGGTCAGTCCTCTAGACCACTGCCAAAAATCCACTGCCCCACTTGAGAAACTGCTCAGACCCACCATTTCAGACACTGCTCAGGCCTGAACAAGCACCCACTGAACCCCCTCGCATTGAGAACCCCCTTTTAGCACTTTAGAAACAGTTCAGGTCTAATCCCTCTCCCCCTTCTCATTACTGCTCAGGCTCCAGAAGCTTTCTGACAGTGCTTTTACCTTAACAGTCCTTCTAAATACCACTCATATCCCCCCTTCAGATACTTTTTGCACCTCAAGAGCA